AACCACTGTGTGGACTACAGCTAGCACGTGCAGCTGAATATTGCATTATTATGAATGCTGCACATATATAGCCACGAACATCCAAAGTAGTTACTCCAGAATAGTTGTCAGCATGACTACATCTCTGTATACAATACAGGAAAAGGATAAGAAAACAAATATTGTTTTCTTGATAACGTATCTTGCAAAACACTGGAAAGTCAAGTGATTTGGCTCATTTCAGAATCCCCAAAGCCTCTTGAAAAACTCTACCATAATGCCCACCTCTAACTCTGCAACATGGCTCGTTTTCACACATGCTTACTCCTTTTGCAACACCTGGATGAAAAGTATTTTGAGTCCTGAAAAACTAAAGTTATTCTTAAATATTCAAGAGTTTAAAGACATTGTATACATTCTAGCAGATCTGTGTAATAAAACATCTCAATCCCATCTTGCAGAATGTGTCAACTTAGAGCACATCTCATTTACCCTTACTGTAGGGCTCTGTCTGAAGGTTCTGGTGAACTAAAGGTGAGCTTGGGAAGGCAGAGCATGGAGGATTCGCCTCATCATGTACAAGTGACTTTGTGATCGCCATAGAGCATCCATGGCCAACAACTTTTCATGAATGTCCAAGTGCATTTTTAAGGGATTTTAAATTTCAGTCAATAAATGTGTTAGTAACGTACATACATTTCCTTTGACTTAAAAAATATATTCAGTAATTAAAAACTCAGAAAAGGTTAGTTTGCCTGCGTTATACTAAGCACAAGAAACAGGAATTCTTAATTTTACAGTCACTGTTTCACAACAGAAAATAGCAGAAGTCCAAAAGACATTTCTCTACTAAAGAGAAACGGAAATTGACTTTTTTCCAACACATTCAAGATTAGAATTCTTCAGAAGTTTTGATTCCGAGCACAATAGTAGTCTCATTACTAGTTCACCACCAAACTCTAGAAATCTGTTTGAATTACACCTCTTGTTGAGTGGCTTCTATGGAAGAGAGAGGTTAAAAAGAGAGAGAGAGTAAGAGAGAAAAAGAGAGAAAAAAAAAGAAAGAAAAGCTCAAGTGATAGCTAATTAATTGATCTGTAATATCTGTTCACAGTGCATAATAGAACCATCTGAAAACACGCTGCACTAGAAGACATCTATGGCAAAACTATTCTTACATTTATGATGCAGTTTTTTTTCTCCAGACTAGCTTTGAAAGGCTTCTGACCTGAATATATTAATAGGGCACGTTATTATGTGATGCATACAATAATTTTAGAAACTGGGTTAAATATTTACCAGGTGATATAGGTCTGCTAGAACTTGGTGAGGGTGTATAAGGGATAGGACTGGACACAGTGCGAGGTCTTAATCCTTGTGCAGACATCTCATTAAAATATCTAACAAAAAAAGGTAAAGAACAATTAGATAAAACCTTTTAAAACGTGCCATATTTAAAATGTTTTACTGTGTTTTTTTTCAATTCCCATAAGAATCACATTAGATTAATGAAGGACCAGTAACCCTTAGGAAGTCATGACAGGAGCTCTTGTTCATCATTGCTGAAGGCTCAGATACTGGCTGAACTTTCAGTGGAAATAGCTGGACTTATCTTAGTCATTTGCAGTTAAAACCATACAAGTTGCATACGATTAGAAGAGCAGATATCAAAGCAAGGGGTATAAATCATGTCATCCAATCTGACCGATACTACGTTCTTGCACTTCACACATCATTCCTACACTGAACTCTACAGCTTATCTGGCTGCCGTGTACTTTCCAGAAAGGTATTCAGCACTAAGCTGAAATCATGAAAAGAGAGGGGTGGGAAGAAAGCATTAAAGTATTGATAACTTTTTCCAACAGCTGATCAGCCTCACAGTTAAAAACATGACCTGTTTCCTACCTGAATCCCTCTGGTCTCAACATTTAGCCATTTGCTCATTGTGTCTTTTGCCACTGGAACAGAGAGACATTTCAAGCCGAGGACTTTCTCCCACTAAAGATACTTCTAGGCTGTATTGCAAGATACCTCCCACACTTCACTGTGATAAACTGACAGATTAGAACCTCAGGCAAGGCACATTTCCCCACCTGTAATAATTTAAATGGTATTAATTTGTACTTTCCTCACTGAATACACTGAAGCTTTTTCGCAGCCATCAAGTGCTACATAAAAGGAGATAAAAATCATACTAATTACTCCTACTCACCACTTACTGTTTCTCTCTTTATATTTTATGTATTTTTTCCCAAAGCACTGAGCTGGTAGCTTTCAGGTTGACTTGCTTACACACTCTCCACCTAGATTTTTCAGTCCTTGTCTAGATGAGAGGTTTCCCTTCTCACTTTCTCCTGCACATACGGTTGTAAATAAGCACACCTGGGTCTACATTATTACATTAACTGTGTTTCCTTACTCGCACAGCAAAGCAACAGGCAAAATTAGCTACCTAACAGCCCTTTGACTCTTACTTGTCTCCCTTTCTACCACTGTTCTCAGAAATTCTTGGTAGCTACATTTATTTCCCAATCACAGAAAAAAACCATTAGAAAAAAACCAGCATTAGAAATATTCCTATTTGATGGAACTCGCAAGGATGATTACTTTGAGGTCTGTGAGTCAGTTCATAAACTATTTGAAACATGTTTTGTTACTGCACCTTACTGATTTTTAAACCAGGATATTCAGTTACTAAGCCACACCACCTAACACAGGCAGCACACTGTAAAGTTGCTTTAAATCAGGTAATAAAAGTAGCTGCAACAGAGAACAACAGAAAATTAACAAACTGGCAAATTAAAGTTTAATTAAATATAAGTTTTCTAAAGAGTTACCAGCGGCAAGGTTAGCAAAACTGAACTGACTAGGCGACCTCTGCAACACAGAGTAACTTGTAATGCAGACAGTACATGTATTACAGCAAGGCAGTGGTCTCTGTGATTTGATCGTGTTTTATTCCAAAGACGATTTTCATCCCAGTACATGGACCAGGTGATATGGAACAGCAGCACACTGTCAGTATGCTTCCTGGTTTCAGATATTTCCCCACTACTCCAGAGAACAGGATGGAGGATTGAGAAGACAAAGCTATTGCTTTACTTATCAAAAATTTGAGAGAGTTGAGTATTTTGCATTCAGCAAAGCACCTTCATCTAACCCCATCTACAAAAAAAAGTATCAACAACTAAGAGAATGCAACTGAAAAAAGTGGGTACCCAATCCATTACCACCATCATTTTTAAGAAGACAATATAAGCTGAAAAAAATTTACATTCTAAAATCACTACTGCATGTAGTCCCACAATTCTTTTGTCTACACGGTTTTTCTAGGACCTACCACTCTACTACCTGCTTCGTCCTTCCCTTTACTTTGTATTACTTACACTGCAAATACCTGTTTTGGAGCGATTCTGTCACACCTTTGTAGTATCAAAAAAATCAACATGACAAAGAAATTTTAGAAGTACAGAATAGTTCATCAAATTTTCTTGCATCTTATTGATTATCACTACCTACAACTGCTGACGAGAAAAGAATTAGGATACTCTACATTTTTGGATTAATACTTGTAATTCACACAGGCTTAGATTTTGACTGTATTTCCATTACAACGTAGACACTGGCAAAAAAGATTAGGCTAATAAAAGTAGACTCAAACACCACAATGCTGTGTTTCTAACAATTTAATTTACATAGCAGTCATTACATCTTAATACCAGATGCTACTGCAATGTATGCCAGTTGCCTAGTAATTCATTAAAATGAAAACACTACCTTGAACTTTAAGGGTGCTCCTTGAAACAAAGTATCTCGTACTTTGTTTCCGGCAAATTATGGCTTATAATAAATATACTGATGACTCAAGAAGAAATATTTCAGTACCAGAAGAACACACAGCACAGGGTAACTTTTTTTTTTTAAAGGACCACCATAAATCCAAAATAATGCAAAATAGTACAACCAGATAATGAGCATTTGATAAGAATTAAGAATGTTTTATTCAAAGTGTACTTAAAAACCTCTTTCAAGATACAACACTGTCATATGACTATGATGTCAGAAAACATTAAAAGACGTCATATGAACCCATTAAAAACTCAGGACTATCCATAAGGTCAGTGCAAGCAATGCAGCTTGCAGAAGAGAAAAAAAATAATCAAGGATGTTATGGTTTGGACATCAAGAACAACCCAACAGTTCTGGAAAGGCTTCCTTTCTCTAAGGCTTTACACGGTATGCCTTTGTCTTTGGCTGAACACGTTTTACTTTCTGCAAAGGACAAATTAGCCCCAAGTAAGGACGTTGTTCCTACCTCACAGAATTCCTTGCAGTTACCAATGTAGGGGCAGAACAAAGGTATTATGAATGATCGAATTATCCTGAATCTCAACTCCACAGCTCTATTTATTTCAATGAACATTATCAAAACTCTAAGCAATCTTCAGATACAAACATTTTTGCACTGTTAATGACATTTCTACACAAGTTTGATACGATTCTACTGAAGATATTCCCAGACAATGCTGAAATTTGATATGTGTTTTAAACCCATATACAGGTTATGTCTATTAATACTTATTCTACAATATTCAAAAAGAAGTATGAGTATTGATTAAAAAGCTCACTGCCAACATATCTGGATGGCTAGAAAATACAAACCTTTCATCGTCCATTTCTAAGCTGGATTCACTCTCTGACAGTTGCCTGCAGAGGGCTTCCCTACGTTCCATTTCCCTCTGTAATTTCCTTTGAAGTCTCAAGTTTTCTTCTCTCATATGTCGCTCCTCTTCTAAATATTGTGCCATCTTCTCTGAATCTGAAATCCAGAATTTTGTAAAAATTTGATTAAAATCCATTTTCACAGACAGGTAAATATGTTGTGCCTGATTTTTACTACAGAATAAGAGTGCAGAAAACGCTCAGGATAGATGACTCAACATTCTCATCTCCAAGTAATTAGTTTAAAGTCTAATTCAGAACAGTAGCTACTAAAAGAAATTACTGGTTGAAAGCAATTTTGGAAACAAAAGGTAAAAAGAAAAAAAAAGTTTTAAGTATTTACTTAAATGAATTTGAAAAGAAAGGAAAAAAGTTATGAACAAAATAATAAAACCAAAATCATAAAGAAGAAACATAATGATTCCTGCTCCGTTAAAATAATGCTATTCTACGTTTACAAAGATTTTACTGCCACACACACAAGACATTATTTTAAAGGTATTTTTCTATTTCAAAGGAGTAAGCACAAAACAAGTTCTGAAGCCTAAACCACTCAAACTTGCATTAAAGTTCTACCTTATATGTATTCTAAAGCACTCTTTCAATTACACACTTCATCATAGAGATTGGCCAGTAGAACATGTACCCATAGGAAAAGCCAAGAAGCAGTTCACTCTTTACATCAAAGGGCAATTTCAGTTTGCAATTCTAAACAAGTTCAGTAAATGTCACTTAAATGGTCTGGTATCGTAGGCTATTTAAAGTGATAAAATCAAACTGTGGAAAGCTACAACGCATTTTGACAGATTATTTAAATAAAATGGAACACACGATGAAGACTTATGACATACAATGTATTTTGTGAGGTTTTCTAATGTTTGAGCAAGTTTACAGTGAAGTCCTTGGTATTAAAAAAAATAAAAAAAATCACAATTCATCATGCTTTGTAATCACTTCTTTATGCACTTCTTTAAATATTTCTGTTTTAGAAGACTGTTCCCAAACTATCAATAATACACGATTTATCTCTGTTCTGTGGAAATATCACTTCTAAACGTAACAGTATCACTTATCTAAAACTATTATTATACCAAAACAGTTCCTAGACTAGAAGTAAGTGCTTCAGGAATACAAAATGTGCTACCAATATCAGAATTTAGTATGCACATCTTATTAAGTATTCATGTATAATCCTAGGGGTTCTCTAATGACCACATATTGCAAACACCAAACTGAAAACTGTATTTCAGGTTTATCTTCTGCTTGCAGGCTAGCACATCCACCACTTCCATCTGTATTGCTATTCATATTGCAGCTGTTTAATCTGTTCACAAAGAGTACTTTTAAACCTTATTTCTCTTATTTTCAATGAGAATTTTACTTTAAATGCTTCTAAACTTGTACTCTAAATCACAATAATTCAAAAAGAAGCCACTTGAAAATAGTCAAGAATATCTGAAACGAAATTAATTAGGCCAGATTTGTACAGAGTGTACTTTAAATCTAAGGCCTTGCTCTCATTCTGAAGTTCAGCAAGTGAAGGCTGCAGTGCAGAATTGGCAAGTACAAAGATTAGCAGTCCTTATCTTCTTTCAACTGACATGAATTATGAATACCACAAACTTGCACACAAGGCCGCTGCAAAAGAGCACTCTCCCATCATCTCTGTCTTTAAGGAAAGCTGCTGCACCTGGCAAGCTATTTCTCTAAACGAGGCTTGGCATGTTCTAGTTAGCCTGTCAAGGACAGCACACTAGAGGGGGAGAATATTGCCTGTTTCCCACTCACCGAATTCTTCTGTTTATGTGGTTAGATATCTGCTTACCTATCAATTGAAATATAACACTACTGACTAGGAAGAACTAGGCAGAACTGATGAAACTCGGATAGAAGCTTTAGATTTAGCACGAAGCAATGAAGGTTCAGCATTGCAAAGATCACAGGAAGGCGCAAGCGACCTTCCTGCCAGTTGAGACCATGAGCTCAGAGCTGTAGTCTCTTCTCTTGAAAGACGGGGCAGAAGCAGGCTTTCCACTTCTGGCCAAGGGTCCATGACACTTTTCCCAACAGAAACACAAGGATTTCTACACAACTATTTATTCTGTTCACCTTCAAAATGACCTTACACAGGCAAGAACAAAATAAGATTACTTCTTCTGCTATATGGTGAAGTCAAATAGCTGCCTGAACAATTAGCCTAACACAGTTACAATTATTTAAAGGGAGCTGCAATCGTTAACAAGTGACATTCTTACATACAACTGAACTTTATTTTGCTAGCTGTTAATTCCTTTAAGTAACTCTTAATTTTAACAAGACTTTTACAAAGTACGCCATAAGTATGTCTTGAAAAATCCTTATGTTGAAATATTGTTAAGTCTCTGAAAAAAAGAAAAAAAAGAAACATTTTTTTCTACTCCAAAATACTCAAGAAATAGTTACCGATTCTTCCAGACACCCTACTAGTAAAGCTAAAAACCCAACGAACTGCAGTAGAAATACATCAACAAACAATAATTATGAAAAGGTTTTAACCCAAACCTGCCCTGTTTGTTCCTGCTTCTACCTTAAATTCCAACTCAGTGTGCATATAAAAATCTTACATTACACAAACTTAAAAAGATTTAAATCAAGTTGTTTACTCACGCTGTAACTGTGCCGCCCTCAGTTGTTTCTTTAACCTTTCCACTTCGTTCTTTAAAAATCTGATATGTCTCATCATATTTTCTGGAGAATCTATCTCCATTGATATGTCTCTGGGTGATGGCGGAGCAGATACTGGCTGGTCTAATTTCTCCTGCAAAATTCTGTATAAAAAAATAGTTCCAACTTTACCTTCAATTCTAATGAAAAGAAAACCCTTTAAATCCCCCAGAAAGCTACTGCAAGGATTCTGACAGCTATAAAATATTTATTTTAACTACTGGTTTTGGGGAGAGAATTTTGGGACGATTTATAATGCTTTCCTTTTTAACTCAAAATGACGAAAGGTAAAATTTGTTGTCCAAGCACAATGAATTTTCTAAAACATTCAGACATTGACACTCCGAAATATTTCTGCATACAGCTCAGGAAAAACAAATTCTGGACTACATATAGTTACTTCAATTTTATACTTAAACGCTACTTATTCCACAAAATAATTTCTAAGCAAATTCAATTAATCTCGAGTTTTTAATTTATGTTCTTAGAGAAAGAACACATATTCAAGATGAGTAAAGTATGTCTGTGGTGAAACACAAGCTTTTCTGCATTTCACCATCACCAAAAGAGAAAACTTCACAAGACATTTTCTGAAGCATAGTCAAATAGTCTCCCTTTTTAAAAAATAAAAATAATAAAAACTTCCAAACAGACAGGTATTCCATATAGTCAAAGTTTCAAGTACCTCTAATAATAACTGATCGTAAATTCAGGAGCAACGAACTTCTTTTATAATGAAATAACCACATGGTAGATAACATTACAAATTCTAAATGATGATTTTTGGAGTTAGCATATGATGTAGGCTCTGGGGTGATCTTCTAGCAGCCTTCCAGTACTTAAAGGGGGCCTACAGGAAAGCTGAAGAGGGACTTTTTACAAGGGCGTGTAGTGACAGGACAAGGGGAAATGGATTTAAACTGAAAGGGGGCAGATTTAGATTAGATATAAGGAAGAAATTTTTCACTCAGAGGGTGGTGAGGCACTGGAACAGGTTGCCCAGAGAAGCTGGAGATGCCCCATCCCTGGAGGTGTTCAAGACCAGGTTGGATGAGGCTTTGGGCAACCTGGTGTAGTGGAGGGTTTTCCTGCCCATGGCAGGGGGGCTGGAACTAGATGATCTTGGAGGTCCCTTCCAACCTAAACCATTCTATGATTCTATGTATTTTCAGCCTAAAAGCATGAAACTGTTCTTCACTAGAAACATGTTGATTGGCCAGATCCAACTCTGCCCAGAAGAGCTGGGACAGCACCATGAAAGCACAACTCTTTGCATGGCCTAGTATTCACACATACCATACAAAATGGTCCTAAAGAATGGTCTGACTCCACCATAGCTCCATGTAAGAAGGCACACAGACTGAGAAAAATTAAACCACAAATGGTTTGGCTTAAAGAAGGCTTTCAATCTAAGATGCACAAAAGTCCTACCAAAGGATAGGATCCCACTATGAATTTACCACTGCTAAGTATCACATGTAGATCTTCAGAGCACCTTCCACACAGCAAGGCTCTGTAAAATAAAACTACAAAACCTACAGTTCACCTAGGCTCAGGTGTTTTCTGAGGCCCCAGTCAAGATTCACAGAGTCACACTAACATAACTATCCTTAAACATGTAGAAGAAAACAAGGTATTAATCATTTCTTCTCTTCTACTGCCTCCCAAAAGAGAGTTCTTATAATATGGCACTAAAGAGAAGGTTGCTTTAATACATATTTTTAATCTTAGCTTTCCCACGAATATAAAGTCTCACTGTCTTGACTTCTATTGAAGAAGCAGCAGGAAGTCTCAATGACATGAGTGCACACTGCTGAGAAAAAGCTGAACTTCTGTTCGAGCAGAGGAAAAACCAAGAGCTTCTCATACAACAAATACACTAAAACACCATGTTATTTTCTCTGGGCCATGAATATAAAGCTGACCCCAAACCAGAAGCTTTAAAAAGACTCTATCAGCAGTTGAAAAAATTCAGCAAATTCCTTTGAGCTTTCCCAGGTCATTTCTTATACTATTTAGTTTCATCTACTTTAAGCAATCAAGGATCTGGCATAATGTAAACAAGGAGCTTTAAAAATGGTTTAACTTCCAGGTTTTTGTAGATTAACCAACTTTTATGGACAGACGTGAACATATTTAATCCAGAACATAATGTATTAAATTATATCTCTCCCACAGCAACACACACACTGCAACAAGACAAACCGTTTTTCTGCTTCAAGCTTATCCATCCTCTTCCAGAGACGATTCACTAGTGCTTCTTGTTCTTGTTCCAAAGTATTTTCAAGGTCAATCTTCTCACGTCTTAGCTGGAGAGGAGAAATAAGCAACGAAAATTAGGGAAATATATTTTTTGCAAGGAACCATCATTAGGAAAGATCATTGCTATAACAACACCATTTTACATGACACTCTACGACAGCCAGGTAAAGGTAAAAAGAGACAAAAATCAGGCACAACACATCGGTCACAGAGCCAGTGAAAAAACAAGATTCAGGAGTTTCACAGTTGTCATCTCCTTCACAAAAAATTTTCTCACAGAACTTGTTGTCTCTGGCCAAGAAGGAGAAGTTTGAAACCTCAACAAGGGGTCACTGATGGCATGACAAGCCTATTCAAAGACATCTCTTCCATGCATCTCTGAAGTTCAAACTGAATTTACTGTTCACTACACCAACATTTACTCTTTTGAAAAGTATTTAGACTTTTTAAGTAGAAGAATCATAGTTAAGTGAGTCAGAAATGGAAGAGAAGAGAAACATTCACCTCATGTTACATAAAGGAGCAAGGTAACAAAAACAGTAAAGAAAAAATTATGTGAACCGCCTTAAGTGTTACTGTATCAACCCTTATTAGCAGAAACAAATGTATTTTCTATCTTAGCAAAGACTTTATAAAAGTAAACACTTAACTTTACATTCTTCCCATTCACTTACTGTGTGAACAAACGTTCTTGATTCTACTGTAAGCTAATAAGGCAGTATTTTTCCCAGCCAAGCCTGAGTTAACACTCACCGTTTTCCTGACTGTCAAATAATCCCACATTACAAAATGGAAAGACTGAAAAAAGACTAAGTGATTGCCTCGCACGTTTACTGCATCACTGGGTGAAGTGCTTTACAGCATCTGAACCTGTAAGGGCTCTATGGTAACCACCATATATTGAGATACCCCAACAAAATTTAAACTCACACACTTCAGACAGCAGTGCAAGTTTAATGAATGTACAACCTTCTTCTTCAAAGCTTAGAGGAGTTAGTTACACACATACATTGATGAGTAACAGAGAATATAATTAGAAAAAGAAACACTGTTTAGTACATCTTTCCATGTCTGAGTTTCCAGATGTAAGGTCCCTCAACTGTTAACGTACGCTTCAATAACAGAGGAGTCAGGAGCAATATGCTTCAGCCTCACAGGAGGAATGAGAACTTGGATCCTGACCGACACTTCACTCCCCACGCCAGCAGCAGCTGGAGTGTTACGGAGGCAAAGGGCTCAGCCCCAGGAGACACAGGGCGCTTTGCCCCAGAGCACTGCTCACTAGCCAGTTTGGCCAATGCTTGGGGCCGACAGCATTTAGAGGGGAAAAAGGGACACAAAACGTTCTGGGAATCTGCACACCGTGCTTCTCCATTACCGACACACAGATCTTCACTGCATTGCATAGCTAGCTATACAAGCACACAATGAAAGAGGTTTGACTGCAGATCACTACTTCTGCAGCAATGGTTTCTGCACCACTTCAGTGCAGCATGGTTTAGACTCACTTGCTCTGGCACAGTCCTGTTACGACTATGTTATTGATCTAGCACTAAACTGGCCCACATAAACATACTGGTGAAAATAAATCTATTTCATTTAATGGTAGGAAGAAGAGCACACTGGGACTTGCAGACAGAGTAAATCATTTATAAACTTGGATTTGAAAAATCTAAGATTACATTTAGTATTATAGCAACCATCACCAAGGCAGCAGAGTCCATTAATTAGAAATCTGCATGTAGGTGAGCATGCACAACGGCAAAGCCAGATCATCAGGAACAATATACAAATGAGCCTTGTGCTGTGCTCTGAAGGCTGACACAAACGCTCTGATGAAACACCAGAGACAATGGGTTGTGAAACAGAGATCTAAACCTCCACATTTCCAGCAACGTGAAAACACACTGGAAACAACTATCTTCCTTTCCTGATCTTGACGGTTGTCTCAGTTCCACCCAGTATCAGGATATTAAAGCTTTGAGGATGAACACCTTGAATTGAACCTACAGGAGAGGCAACTGCAGCATCTTGACCAGAACTGTGAATTCAGAGAATAGGTATGTTTTTTTTGTTCTAGGTAGTTTCAGGTGTATATTGAAACGTAGACAACTTGAGTCAATGAATTTGTTAGGAATGTGATAATATTCTGAACTAAAATAAGCAGAATGAGATCATATCAAGACCAAACCAGCAGCTGTATCAATACTAGTGTCATTCCATATGGGTTCAAGGTTACATTTCAATCAAACATAATTTAATTTTTAACATCACAACAGGGAAACAAGGAAGTATTGCTTGCTTTTTTGGATCACAATCTTCCCTTCAGAGGAAGGGAAAAATTCATTTTAACTTTCCTCATGATCCAATTGTGTTTCTTAATGTCTGACTCTCTTTCACACGTACACTTACTTTACTTCAAAAGCAGCTAAAATACCCATTGTCTGTGTATTCCTGGATTACTGCTTCTTCAGTCTTCTTGCCAACTTACTAACAAGCACAACTGTTCCCTCCGGAAAAGGAGATCTTCCAAGTCAATGAAAGTCGAATATAATCTCTGCCTAAGCCCACTACCCCAAATTTCACTTCTCTGCTTCTCATCTGCCCCTTTCCCTTTGTAGCTTTAATTCTTTCCTGCTCTCCAAGACTCTTTTCAGAACATTTTACACATTTCATGTTCTCCTTTTAAAGAAGCAGACATAGGAGATGATTATTAGCAGTTTAGTTCTTATTTCTCATCTCCTAACTGCATCAATCCAAGTTTTCTCACCGTACTGTATGAAACAGAAAAGCAATTAAAAAGAGTAACAGCAAGACTACACAATCTTGGCCTCTGCAGGACAAAACTGACAGCTATTTACTTCCTTTCAAACCACTGAACTATAACACAGAACATTACTGCTCATTTTAACTGAGACATTCAGCTAATGAAATAGTCACATGTTGCCAATTTCTTCACCATTAGACTTCAGAGAAGAATGTTCTGCCTCTTCAAGCTGACTTAAGAAAACTAAGCTTAACAAATAAGCTTAATAAATAAGAAAACTAACTAAGAAACTCTGTCACATTTGAACTCTAAGATCCAACTTGATTTTTTATTTAGGAATAACATTCTATGCAACCATCACGGCAACAAACTGGCTACCTACCAATATCCTGTGGCACAAGCAGCTCAGATGAGAGAAAGTAAAGGAGGAAGGACACAAAGCATAGATAATTCATACTCCATATTTTAAAAATAATAGTTTAGTGAACATGTGTTGTAAATATCTGCTCACTGATTAGAGTGACAGATCTAGCAATGCAGCCCTAGATTATGTCCAAAGCATTGCAGAAGTACTCCTTTCACAGCTGTTTAAACAGGTCTCCCAAAGGTTACATTGAAGCATTGTGACTCTCTCTTCCTTAATTGCCTATATGTACAATAAAGGCAACATTGCTGTGCTCACAACTTTTGGTGGCTTCTTGCTAGGTATGGTATACGCCCCAAATGCTGTTGCTTCCTTCAACTGGCTAATTAGCACAGTAAGTTTGTTGTTTTGGTTTGGCTTTTAATTTGTGTAAGAGAAGAAAGTATGCTGAAGTTCAAAGTAACTTGAAATTTACTATATCTTACTGTAAAAGAAAACAAAGGTATATGTTGCATTACATATAAATATGTATGGAATTTCTAAGTAAGACTGAGAGTCAAATTTAACATCTTCATAAAGAAAGCAAGTTTTCAAGGTCAGATATTTGAGAAAAAGACCTCTGAGCTCCCGTGCTTTTTGAACAATTTATCATTCATATTCAAATGTAGCAACAAGTTTCAAATTTTATGATTTCACATGTCTGTCAGCTCAGAACAATGACACAAAAATAAATGCCATTAAGCTTTCAGCTGTGACTCATGCTAACATTTCAAAGATTAAAACAGCTTAATATGTAACCTTACTTTGCATTTTGATTAAGTGGTCACCACCACCACCTTGTGGCTAAGAGAGTTATTTCTATTTCACGTTAATTTCCATACTGATTAAGAATTTTCTGGCAACTACATCTTCCTACCTTTCTATTTTCCCGTTTGTTCCATAGATCTCTCCATACAGAATATTAGAATAAGAATCAAGAAAACTCATTTCATCATTAAGACAGTCATTAATTAACTTATCCACAATATCAACAGAAATAGGAATCATATAAAACTGGTAGAAATGCAGATTACCAGCAACTAAAAAGTTCCACATCTGATGAGAACAGCAAAAAAAAAAAAAAAATCACAGAAATAATGTACTATATTTACACCACCCAAATTATTGGGCTTCCACAAGCCAGAAAAGCTGAAGTCCTCTAACAAGTCTGTATGTTTCATCAGTTTGCCTTTTAAGTCAAAAGGACTCCTATTAACACCACTGAGATGGTTTGATGCATGTGCCTAAAATTAGACATAAGAGCAGTCCCAATGTCTAAACTTCCAGTGGAAACATGACCAAAACAAGTGGTGTTTTATATCTGCAATCTTCGTAACTGTCTAGACAGAAAGGGAGTTGGATGTAGTCGAATCTCAAATCTTTTTAAGTATACACACAGCTGACATCTCACGGTTTGAGTCCTGTGCTATCCAAGCTGCCACAAAAAGGTGACCTAAAGCACAACGAGACCACGTACATACCGTTTACTGTTGTGCTTAACCACTGTCAAAAGTGACAGCCTTCCTCACCAACAGCATCAGAGTGGAAGCTAATGAAGAGCAACAAGAAGCATTACTTAAAAAAAATTGCATTTGCAAAACTCACAGCTGTCCACTGGATACGAAGGTCTGTGGTAAGGCTACTAAAAGTTAAAATGGCCATGAAAAAAAAATAACCAAAAGTTTCTCATAATAAATTATCGCTTTGAAAGTCAAACTGTCTTTTCTATATTCTTGATACCGCCCAGCTTCTTACATACTTAAAAAATTAAGTCAAATCTAACACAAGGGTGGGTTTTGTTGCTTTTTTTTTTTTTTCCTTGTTTTATAGTCATATAAATCTGAAAGTAAGGAGTTACCTGCTCCAGGGTGAGCTGCTTCGAAATTGTATCATTTTCCAGTTTTTTAATCTTCTTCATCAGTTTGTTCACTTGAAATTCCTGTTCCTGCTCTAAATGCTGCTCCAGTTCAGCTTTCTCATGCTGCAGCTAAAAATTCAGAAGACACAGAAGTATTTTAAACACACAAATAAAAGTAAGAAACCTTACGCACCTTTTATATGTTTACTTGCATGTTTATTCTTACTGCACATTAGATTTGCTACTGATAATTCTTCTCAAAAGACTTCAAAATGCACAGTTCAACCAACAACCCTTCAAAAAGCATCATTTTAAATATTTGAAAATGTAGTTTACTTCCATCTGCTTTGTAAATGGAACACAGTTTAATACAGTCAAATCAAAATAGATACATTATATATAACATGAAATAATTATAGACATTTCAAAAGTCAAAAATCTATCATAATGTTCACAAAAGCATTAATTTTAATCTAAATGCCTCATCTCAAGAGCATCCAAAGCATAAAACAAATAAACAAAGCATAAAATGCAGGTCTTAGCACTTCTTTCTCCCAGGCAGCTGAAAGCTTAAAATCATGACTGAAGTCATACTACTGAAATTGCTGTGCAACAAGATAAAAAAAAAAAAAATCAATTTATAAATAAAATAAATCTGATTTCTATTCCTATGCTATGAAGAATCAAAAGATTTTGATGACAAAACACTGGTTATTTCAAATCAATGTCATAAATTTTCTTAACACTCAAGGGAAAATCTTTTTCGGTTAATATTTACAGTGAAGAAAATCTTTACTCAAAGCTTTCAAGCAGATGGAAACAAACAAACAAAAAACCCCAAATGAACCCACATTTTAACATAAATTATGACTTCGGGCTGAGTCACTTTTAACACTGAAGTCAAAATCACAATGGAATCCCTCTGAGATAGGGATCCAAGTCTTCCTGCAGCTAAACCAGTGTGACTGGCACCATGGTACGAACATGTGATTTGACTCAGGGAAAAGCAAATGTCACCAAAAGACAATGGTGTAATCACACTGTGCTCTCTCCATCCACTAAGAATTGCAGGCACTTTTTCCCACCTGCTTATTTTGTACCCCAGTTCTTCTGGCTATCACATAATGATACGTAACATCATAGCGTTTAAATGTGTGAGGAAAGCCTGAGGAAATGGAGACACACCCCACAGTCAGGGACACAAGTCGAGGTTGCTGGATATCCACGGTGAGGAAACGTACTTTGATTTTAAAACAAGCTAAAATGGCGAGTTCATTAATTCAGTTCCTTTTGCTGCCATTTAGAGACAAGATGGTCTGTGAAGTGCAGCCTGGCAGAGAGTTCAGAGCAGAAAGGCTTGTGTGGAGAGAGCATCAGGCAGACAGGAACTACCTGGCAATATACACATGGGAGAAGTTTGCAGTTTGACTGTGTTTTCAGGGCTTATCAATTTGGAGAATTTGTTTTTCGCAAATTAAAATAACTACCAGAATAGTAATTAAAAAAATGAATGAGATTTATTCATTTCACTTACTAAATTACAGCACATTTTACAAAACCCCTGACATTCACCGAAATCCCCATGCACTGGAGGAAGCCACCTAGACTCCAACACAATAATCACAGACTAACATGGCGGCTCCTGATCAAATGGTTAGGAAATTTTGTTAGACTGCCTAGTTGGAAATAAAGCCATTTCATTTCTCATGTGAGAATACACAGGGCTGCTAAGTGAGACTGGAAGAAAAATGTATATTCACACTTCTAAATCAAAATACTGTTTGTGTTGTTTGATAATCAAAAATTTGAAGTTTCTTATTTCAGTATTGCATTTATGCTTGGTTGTAAAAAAAAACAGGTTTAATATGAAAAGGATGTTATTCAGTCTATAACTTCGTAAACCCCTCTCCTGTCCCTCCCCACCCCTAGGCAGCAGGCACAGTTTCAGACTGAAGACAGCCAAAGAGCTGAAGGAGCAGACAGCGCGTGGATCACCTTGAGTGCAGCTCAAGGTATTTGCTGCACTTTCATCGATTTTCATTTTGCTTCATTAAAAAAAGCTAGATGTTTGGTTTTTTTTTTTTTCCACCTAGCTAAAAACTGAGACCAAAGCCCGTTGCTGTAATCAGCATATATTTGGTTAGCAAATCAAACTGTGCGCAAAGGCACACAGCCAGCATCTCTTGCTCAGCCTGAGGACAGATGCTGCCAAGAGAAAGCGTGCCGTTGGGAATGGGAACCGCGAGCACTTGCAGTCCAGCCAGTCAGGGAGACCACGCAGCCCGATGAAGGCACCGCAAGCCAACTTAACAACAAATACTGTTTTCTCGCTCTTGTGCGCTTCATGCAAACACAACTACCGTGTTATTTAAAACAAACTGAGCTGCAATAGCACAGTCTTGCTAGTCAAATCATTTCTTTTAAAGTTTGCTGGAATTTCCATCACAGGGGAGCTGATGTGCAGAATCTACTAAACCCTACCTTGGGAGTGTGAACATAATGCAGCCGAAGGACCATTCCAGCTGATCAGAAAGCTACTAAATGAAGCCAGAAAAGATCTAGTACGTTAATATCTTCCATTCTGATTTTAACATAAATACACCAGAAAGCAAAGTGACTGGGAATAAAAAGAAACCCACAAACCCTTTCCCCTTGAGTGCTAAAAGGGATTACAACATGAAAGCCCTCTCGGACATCCTGATGAACCTACTTTACTGTGCTTCTCCCCTTCACCCTTTCAGCTTCATTATTCAAAGTGGGAGAAAAATACTAATAACACTAATCTGATCTAGGTGGTCCTGCTCCGGCAGAGGGATTGGACTAGATGATCCTTTGAGGTCCCTTCCAATCCCTAACATTCTGTGATTCTGTGAACACACCCCAAAATACAAGTTGATGATGTCTGTCACTCATAATTGTGTAAAATATTTTTTCCCTTTTATTGGCTTTGATCGCAAAAGCAAACCAAAGCAAAGAAAACCAGCTAATGCTGAAACCCTAACGCTGAAAAACATAATAGCTAACAGTGAGAAAATATCCACTGGTAAAACACTGGTGGATAATGTTTATTTTACTTAGTGAAGTAAGAGAGTATTTTCAAACTGTTTTTAATTACATGCAATTATAGTAACAACTGTTTACAGATACACCTACAGCTGCCAGCTAAAGAGAAGGAAAAACCGTGTTACAACGTGTCACCTTGAATGTAATGTCTTATAGAAAACTGTAGGAGAGATACCGGGGCAATTTTCAGCTACCGAAGACCAGAGATGGGTTCAGTGCAAGAGAGACAGTAGTTTAAAGTGAGAATGGGGCTATCAAATACAAAGCAGCAGAAAGAGTGCATGCTTTAGTTCAGGTAAGTCCTATACAACTACAGTAATATCCTTCTCTCTCTGCAGAAATAAGTTCCCTGACACAATGCAGGACCACATTTACCTTACTTCCTTACTGTACTGGCTTATTCTGGGACAGCAGAAAGTGTTTTTTATGAAATAATGGAGCTAATGGATGAAGTTTCCCCTTAAAAAAAAACAAGCCTTCATTTATTCCCCAGACTATGACCTTGTACATCATACTGACAGCCTATTTTTAGTACTCCAGCCCTCAGAAGTTGTCCAATTCCTCCTTTGCTGCATCCTGAAAGTCTTATTTATTAACAAATTTGTATCAGCAGTTTGTCTCCTCTTTCTGTCCAGATGTTCATCAAATAAATGATAGATGAGCTGACTGCTTATTCCGCACTATCACATTTGCATCCTCGAGCTGACACATCGTATTTTGCAGAGCAGGAAGGGTAATAGCTTATGTTTACAGACTTGTAATTTTTGAAAGAATTGTGAAGAATCAGACTTGCATGAGAAATAGTTCTGTACAGCCTCCCAATTACTTAATCTGCCTGACTGCACATTATGCTATTATCTTGGCATGTCGTAACATTTTACTTTCAAGGACAGATACTTGGACCAATTTGTACTTCCAAAAACATACAGGCATTGAAAAAAAAAAAAATCTGTATTTGATTTTGAAAAGGACTGTTGCGCAATTTAAAGAATAATTGACTTTGTAAGTTCAAACAATATTTAAAATTATTTACTCTTTTAAGCAGGCTTGTTTCGCAAAAGATGAATTTTCAAGGTTTACTACTTTAAGTTTCAAACCAGTAACTCAACAAGTCCATGTCCACAGCTGCAAGAACAGATCCTGCATCAAAACACTTCTAATGATACTGTGCAAAATATTACTATCATTCTACAATGACTAGAGATTGAGGAGTCTACATGGTTTCAAACTTTCCAGAGACTTAGTCAGGTAGACAAAAATATATTTACAGTACGTATATGGAAAAACATAGTGAATGAATACAAAGCTTATAAGAACTTTATCAGGAATGTATGTGATGAAAAACTTGTTTACTCCAAAATCTCTGTTGAGATGCATGTGCTCCTTCATCTCCGCAGCATTCAGCCTAGAAAATTAAAAATTATGCTAAACAAAGGAAATTTAACTAGTAAAAGCATACACTTATTTATCCGGCTTGTAGAGGCAGTAAAAGCTAATGCCATACAGTTATAAACAGGTATTATCAAGCAATGGTATGGCACCATAAAGCCTGGCAACAGGAAGACAGCACTATTCCCGTGAAAAAAGACCTTCTTTTATGTGCTACTGTGCATGTTTAGAATAAGTCTGGCACACAGTAAAATGTAAGCAATTAATTTTTACAATATTGAAAACCTGATGCCACTCTGTGTTTTATAATAGTAATGCACATCATGCTGAACTGAGAAATTCTTGCTAGGCTGTCAGCGAGGAGCGCTGCAGCTCATGCTCTGGCAGACAGCTTTCACATTTAAAACGTTTTACCATTCTGGGAGCTCATTCCAGATGTCACTCTGAATGTGATGCGTAAGCCCTTACAAATGTGACAAACAAAGGTTTGACAAAGCAAAAAACACACAGGCACTATGAAAAAGGTCCCCTCTGTTAGGTGGCTTCCAACTGAATAACATGGCAGCAGTTCTGACACAGGCACAGACTAGTAAATACTTGAAAAATTAAGAGACTACATTATCATATCCAGCTTACCAGAATTATACCCCTCCCTCCATTTCAAAAGGCAAAGTCTTAGACAAAACAAGTTCACATGCTTTTTTTTTTTTTTCCCCTCCCTTAGTTATACAAAATCCAGGAAGCCATTTGATGCACAATGTCTGACAGCATGAATTTTGAAGTCTAGTTCCAAGTCAGACCAATGTTGCCTGGCAATCACAGAGGTTAAGAGTTTAATTAAATAGCAAAGAACAGTGGAGCAACCAATTACTGCCCACACTTCCACTGAAGACTACTGTATTTCTGGTTAAGTCATCATTCAAAGTCCATCCATCTAATTTAGCTAGAATTCTCTCCAGAGCAAAGATACCGAAAATGGAAGTGGGCATTTATCAATCCATTATTAGCCTTATACCTGCCTCATCAGTCTTGCATCCTCTAATAACGACAGAATTGCTACATTCTAGTAGGTAATGGTAAGTATTGGCAATGACAAATCTCAAAGAAGTAAACTGTAATTATCTTAACTTTCTGTGTCTGAAAACATTACTCAGAGGAATTTAACACTACACCTGTGTAATGGGAAGAGCATCCCAAACTAGAAAAGATGTTGTAATAAATACTAAGTTGACCATGTGACGTGTGCTAATTATGTCCTCTTTTCCACAAAACAAGTTTCTCTGCAATATCAGGAGTTTCTCTTATCAGATTTTTTATCTTGCAGCCTACACAGGTATAATTTCCAGAATTCATAATTGAAGAATCAAATTTTCCAAACAACAGATAAGCTTTCAGGAAACAAAAATAAATGTCAATATTATTTTCAGTTCTTTGCTACAGAAGAAAATTGCCTGCAACTCACCAATATTCTAATATCAGCTTACTAAATCCATGATCACTATAGAGACAGAAAATCATATTTGTGGAAACATACAGTAATATTCAAATGTTTCCTAATTCTACAGGTAAACTCTTTAGGGAAAGGGACCATTTCCTTTGCGTAACTACTAAGCTGCTGAGCATGTTACTCGTGTTTAGGAGAATACATTACTATGCATTTTTGGCATTTCACATCAAAGACATAATCAAGCTACGAAATGAGATCTGCATTCAGCATACACACAGAGTAATAATTTTAATACTAAGTTGTTTGCTTTAAAACAAACAAACAAATCCTCCACCTGTGATGGAAGTCTTGAGCCACTGCAAAGGTACAAAAAGTCATCCAGATGTATGGACTACAAAACCTGCTGATCAGGCAGATTCCTCTGACACAGATTAAAATACACTTTGCACTAGAGGTCTGACATTTCCCTTATCATCATCTCCTCTGTGCCCTGCAGTGAACAGGTGAACCTGTAAGCACTCGCCCTTCACAGCCACAACTGCTACCAACACCAACAGGATGCTGACAGCTGTTCTCTTTTTCAAGTAAGCTGGGTTAGTATTTAGATAGAGGACAAACACAATTCACTTCCAAAAAGTGCTACCTAATGATGCTGCGAGAAATTACACAGCTTTAGGACTAACAATTTGGAACACAGGTGCATTTTAGAACTGTCACCTTTTAAAATCTTCTGGATGACACGACCACATTTATCAAACGCTAGATGAGCCTTATAGGAAGGCCACATGAAAAGCAGTGTAAGGCTGTAGGCTGAGATACTGCTTAATAAAATCAGGTGGTGGTCAGAATTTTACCTCCATACTATTGTAGTTATGGCTATATAGTTACTTCCTTTCAGCAGAAGCTTGCAGCTTACCTACTGAAAGCTGGGTAAAATTTACGGGATGATGCTGAATCCAAAACTGAGGATTTTCTCCAAATGGCTACAAAAGGCGAGAATAATATGTCACCAGTTTTACACTTGCATTCTGTTTCAGATATACATGCTTCTCTGAAACTTTCTCTCACTAGTGAAAATGAAGTTACACCTTTTAAGGGTTTCCAACGGATAAATAGCATAATGCCCTTGCATTATTTCGTACATTACAATAAGGCACTCCCTGGACCACTTTGAGAACAGTAGATTTCTAGGTTTTTTCCTAGATACTTTCTGAAAGTCTATAGCAGAAAAGAATACAAATTAATTGTATTTTAAGGTTCACAAGAAGTTTATATTTCTAACGTGTGAACCTATTTTACATAAAATTAGTAATTTAAGAGCTGTTAAAGATACTTTACTAAAGCTAAAGATACTAAACAGCTTTAAAGCAGTCTCCGATGAACTCCAGGAAAAAGGCTAAGCATAGTTTAAGCAGTTACTACATATAGCAATTTAGTTGCTGCAGAACTTGTGCAGCACGAATTTGTGTGCAAGGTCATGATATGAGTTCAAAACCCTTCAGTCAAATCAAGTCTAATTCATGCTTTTACTTTTACAGTAAGTTTTACTTTGCTCTACACAATACACAGTACACTAGTCCCAAGTAGCCCGGTTCTGCAACCGATGTCTACACACCCCTTTCAATTAAACAACATTGTTCAACATACCATTTTCTCCCTTTACAGGAAGAGACATTAATAGAAAGCTTTTCCTATAGTGATAGCTACATCTTACTTCATTTAGAAAAGAACACTCAATACCTCTATTTTACTGCCATCTGCTTCTCTATTTTTCATAAAAATGTACGACTTTGAGAGTAACTGTACGTCTTACTCAGAAACACTCTTGTTAGTCCTCAAGAACAGCAAGGGGAAATAGTAATACCAGACTGAGGATATTTTGTCTTGATCCTTAACTTACTACGTGATAATAGGCATCAAATAGACAAAGTCATGGAAGTCTCAGTTTTCAGAAACAAGGGTCAGACGCGATCAGCTCTAATGTTTCCAAACAGTATGTTCTCTAACTGCAAGGCTAAACATGCCTTAAGTCTCCAGCTGCAGAACATAAGAAATGCTTACAAAATACAAATCAGGTCCTTTAAAACTTCTAAGTTTTTCATGACAAAGCTTATAAGTAAGGGCATGAAAAAAGCCAAAGTGGATCACCCCAAACATCCACCTAACTCCGTATCCTTCCTACAGAGGCCAAAAGCAGGTATTTAGCCACATCTATTGGAACAGGACAAGCATACACAACACTTCCAACAAATACTTACCTGCTTTCCGAAAATTAGCAACTTGGGTAAAGAAAGAAGTTTCTCTGCCATAAACTGTCCCAGCATCTTCAACTTTTTACTTTTAGTACCTGACTGGCGTTAGCGTTTTAATTCAAGAGAAGAAACTGTTTTGTTAAAAGTATGGATATACTTACAGATAAAGTTTCTTTCAAGCATCACTGCGCATTCTTGTACATAAAGTTTAACATTTCAGGACTCCTGTTAAATATCAAATACTCCAGAAAAAAGTGTCTGTTTCACTAACGTTTTAAATTAACCAGTAACTCTCTTTTGTACGACAGTTAACATTTACTTTAAGCTACATCCATTTATTCGCATCTGTATATAAACTTTCAGGTTCTCAACACTATTAGTTTGCATCTGCAAACTTTAAAGTAACATATTAAAAAACCTCTTAGTCGCTAAGTCGCTTGTACTTTGCCTTTATCAAGTGTCAGCTTTACAACAGCTACAGTCTGACCACATGCCTCTCTGACTGCAGTCACACCAACAAAAAAGTTCAGCCACCAATCGGTCCTGAGGCTCCTAGGAGAAACATCAGTAAAGGCATCAATTACCTGCATCAGTTTTCTGGAGAGCTCATTAGTGAGAAATTCCTCTTCCTTTTCATAGTTTACTGCAAGTGTTTCTTTTTCTTTCTGCAGAGCTTGAATCTTCTTAAATAGAGTATTACTGATGAATTCCTCTTCCTGCTCTGCCCTTGCTTGCTGTGAAGTAAAGACATAGTTTTAAGAAAAGAGGGAGCAAATTTCCACATTAAAAGCTTCAATTATTCCATTCCCCTTTAAATACCCTACACCTCTTTTTTTAACCTTGCCCATCATCCCGGAGAACAGTAGGCTGCATCTGAGTGCTGTTACCATCCCGTTTCCTAACACAGCACCTTTCGCCCTTCTTCGTTCCCCATCTTTCAACTTGGCAAATTACACCGGTGCTTTAAAGTGGTCTCCCGCCAACCAAACGCACACTCCCCAACCTTTTAAACTTTATAAAAGCATTACTGATTCACAGATACCTACTTTTATCAACTCTATTCTTAAAACCAAACTCCTCTCTAAACGTTCTCCATTGCAAGCTGAAGCACAGCTCAGACTGCTGCATTCAGCACCGTGCTTTCCTTCCAGATCCGTTAGACTGCAGCCCTGCTTTCTAGGAGTCAAATAATGCATTTATTCTATCACCCAGATATGCCTTGCTTTTAAGCCACAGGCAGCATGGCTCATCTCATGAGGATTTCTATCCAACCTCCAGCCCAGGAAAACAGTCACTTACGTTACTTCTCAGAACCGTTACTGTCAT